ATGTTTAAAGGGAAAAACTTACCATCCTTTTTGGAAATCTCAACTTTGGGCACTTTTGCTGGGGGTGTGTTACTTGAAAACCATGAAATTTGTGGTTCAAGGATATAGGACTTGAAGATGGGATTGCAGTCAAACGGGCCGCCGGAGATATTGAAGTCCTTTTGAGGAGCTGAGGGCAGCTAGTTCCAAGAGAACTCCCTTTGTAGGGTGTTGCATTTTTTCTGCCCCCAAAATTATTGCTCTGTGCGCGTGGTGAGAGAGGCATGCTAGCGTGCTTGATGTGGCACCATAGTCAACTCCACTTATATATACACGGCAGAGTTCCGAGCCTTATCCATGATCGCGGCTGTCAACAAACAACAGCTGTCACAACCGGCAATTTCCGCTATAAGGGATAAGTTTTATTACAGGTAGTATACTAGTACTAGTAGAGTACTATAGAGGGTGTTAACACAAGTGGCCAGGAACATACTGAGTGACGTCAAGGAGTTCATTGACACCAGTTTTACCAAGCAGTTTGTAAGCAGCAGTCTATGCATTAAAATCTGTATAGGTTGTCGTCGTCATCACTGCATCCTCCTCCCCGTCCGAGTCTGACTCTTCAGGCTCATCATCAGTACTGTTACTGTCCTCGCCGCCATCACTTTCGCCATCATCTTCCTGAACATCGCCTTCCTGAACATCACCTTCCTTGGCATCTCCATCCTCGACAGTGTCTTCCTCGTCTGATGATTCATCTCCGCAGCTGAAAGAGTCATCCCGATACTTGCTGGAATGTTGCCTGATTGCCGAAGATGTGTACTGGACCTCGTGTCCGACACCAATCCCAGCAAATCGTGCAAAAGTATCTCGATCTGCAAAACTATGGAGCAAAGTGAGTGTAGGCTGTAGTGCGATGAGGGCCATTCCTCACATGTTTACATAAAAGCACTCCCAGTCATCAGTTTCATGCTGAAACCTTGCGAGAGAAGGACCCCTCTGAGAAGAGTATTTGAACGCCCCTCTGAAAACGCTGGAATAAGATGGCAGCCGCGGATAACGAGTGATGGGTCGAGGAAGCCAAAGGCATTATCATCAGTCTCAGGGACAAATCCAACCTTGGGTAGGCGTGCTTCTTTAAGGCCCCAATGATAAGTAGGATCGACCCCGAGCCATCGAACCCAAAGAACTTCGACACTTTGAGATGAACGGTTTCGAGCTTGCGATCCAGTATGCAACACCTGTATCCGAAAGGCACGTAGTACCTGCGCGTACCAGAAAGGGTGTGCGTTCTCGTCCTCTTCCCTTGATAGTGTCATGACAGTGCAATTAAATCCGGGTCGCATGGAGTCTTGGTCACGCCGGACATCATAGGTAGTATAATTGACCTGAAAACGACGTGGTTGCTGGACTCGAGAGAGGTTATCAATGAAACGCAGCTCATTTCTCTCGGGATCAGAAAACTGATGCTCGTCACCATCATATTCGAGACCCAGCAAGCGAGTTAGAAGATTTTTTGAGTTTCGGAACGAAGTCCTAGTATAGTATATAGTATCAGTATCAGTATCTGTCAAATGAGGTGCACGAAGGACAAACTCTGACTTTGACTGCCGGATCAGATGAATGGTCATGTAGAAATGTTGCGAGGTTGATAACATTGACCCATGAATCCGATAGGTGGTGGTGAAGTTCTGGCAATGTCTCGACAGGTTCCTCGGAGTCTATTTCGAGATCCTGCTGCTGCCGTCTGATATGTGTGTGCCGCCTTTCATGTTTTGCCATTTGCTTCGGAACATCCTGTTTGTTGGTCATCCGGTAGAACTTCTTGATGAGGCGATGTGCAACTTCTCCCTGCATCCAAAATGAGACATGCTTTACGGGTATGCACATTTGAAAAATACACTGACCAGTTGAGTACTATATGAATCAGTAGTGCCAAATGTTCGTATCGATTGCACATAGTCACCGAGGGAATGTAACTTGTACGTAAACAGGTTGAACGACTTTGGTCGAGGTCCTGTTCGGTCAGCCGTATTTGGTCTGGACTGAGATTCAAACCCGTTATGTTGTCTCCTGTGACGTGCAGACACCTCACTCGGAAGTTCCATAGTGCGAAAGGCTGAACAAGTAAACTTGCTGAACCTTCGAAGCTGAGCTCCCAGTCTTCGAAGCGACTGGCCAAGCAAGTTCAGGGTATCATCAGAATGAAGGCGCATCTTTGCAAGGGCATGCCATTCCGCCATGCGAAACAGAAGGACCCTGATGACATGGTCATGCTCTCCGGGGAAAAGCCCCTCAAAAGCCGGTATTGCACACTGGAATGAATAAGTTGGTCAGAATGCATGTGAGTTGCGCATGAGATAGTAGAGACTTACCTGCAGCATATCTTCAAAATGTCGAGCCGTTCGCTGTTTCATCGATGATACATTCTCGGGGAACCGACGAATGGAACCTTTCCCAAAGGAAGGTATTAACCAAATCTGGTGTGCGAAGGCATCAAAAATAAGAATCAATCAGAGCCAAAACGCCATACCTTTCATTGAGGATGACAATCTTCCGTGGGTCAAGTGCGAAGAGTAGCCGCATCAAATGTGTCATTACTGCTTTCAATATTCCGAGTTCGAATTCATGGAGCAAATCGACCACAAGGGCGGGGAAAATGTTAAAACCAAATGATGAGAGGCGATCTACGAAGCTATTCTGGAGAAATGTCAGTTCCACGTTGTGAGAGCCAAGCATCACACTTACAACGGTAGGCACCAATGAAAGATCTTTCAGGATACTCTCAACTAAGGCTCCCTTGATGGGAGCACCGTGCATATATATTGCATTGCGGGCTTTGGCCACTTTCTCGGTAACATATGTCCGTAGCTGGTTCATTCTTTGCGAGACGTCATGCAAAAATCCAATGCGGTTGAACATTGACTTTGGAGTCAGACAGCGAGGGCATGGCCGATTCCCTTTATCACGTATGGTGGCTAGGAGGACTCTACGAGCATCAACACCCAGTCAGTGTCAAAAAAGAGATGAGGACGAGAGTAGACGTGCTTCTCTGGATAGTCTGCTGAATACGTGAATATCCTAGGGAAGACACGTCGATACACCCCATCATAGCACTTAATCACAATGCCGTTCTCGTAAGCATCGACAAACTCATCATCCAGGAGGATGCACCACACCGCATGGAACAGCTCCCGTTTGCAATGTGTAAGTATATCGCTGTAGTTCTTCCTCTGTAAAAAGGTGGATAAAAAGCTTGTAATTGAGTCCGGTAGCTACACAGGGTGCGAATCAATGACACATCTCCGGTTGACAGACGTCTAGAAAGCTTACAGTGGGAATAAAAGCTATTGGGTGGCAAGCACCAGAGTTAGGATCCGAACGAACATATTTTGATAGATTCCCAAAAAACAGATATATCGGCCATGCTGATGCACTCCCAAACTGAGTTAGGTGGGTGGCGTCGGACCAGAACATAAGACCTGCAATAACTTTCTCCAGTTTGCAATTATTGTCCCTTCTTTGTTTCTGTAACTCATCGTGAGCCTGAAGCCATGCGTCTGAGGTGTAAAGCTCATCGTAAAGTCGTTGCTCTTGCCCTGTGACTGGTGATTTCCAAATACGCCTGAAAGGCGTTAGATGGAACCATTTCGAAGACTTCTCCGAGAATGCAGCTTGGATAACTGCAATGAGTGGCCGGTAGAAGAGCCCAGAAACTGAGAATACACGCCCATTCCCTCTAGGATTTTTCTCCTTTGATGGCACCATAATCTCTACATCTGACTGCTTCCAGCCGTCTCGCTGCAGAATGTCCGTGGTGTCGGCGCTATCTTCAGATGTATCAAGATTCTTCATCTGAGCGTTGGGGTCGAAGTGCTCGAAATCATCAACGTTGAAGTCCTCTGCTTGCATCACGTCATTGACCAGACGTTTGGCCTCTGCCATCGACTTCCGATCGCTTCCTGTCACCAACCACGACATCAGCCTCCAGACTGACATGTTTTTCCAAGGCCAGGGTGGTGGATGTGAAGGGTCACCCGAGGACACCTCGCCATCCTGTATGCCACAGTCACTAACATGGGATTCGGCAGGACGTAGGTCAGAGAGGTCATCAGCCGATACAATTGCATCTGGATCATACGAAGGGCGATGACGATATTGGCGAGCAATACCAAATTTATTGAAACATGTGCTGATGTAGTCGAAAACATGAAGGATTATGCGGGTAGGACGCGAGGTTGGTGGATCCTGAGCAACAGGTAGTGGTGCTTCCGGAAGTTCATCCCTATATCGCAATGGGAGTCGCTGCATGCGCCTTGGGCGTGAACCATGATCACAGTCCGGAGTAGTGTTGGAAGGGTCTGGGGGAGGAGAACTAGTTGGATTGCAGCCGATTGAATCGTTTGACGGATGGGGAGGGAAGCGATACCATGGGATTGATCCAGTATCTGGGGAGTATGGTTGATTGTCGAGGATGAAGGCACTGAGGTCTTGGATACCAATCAGTCTATCACCTGTGGACGGTAAGATAAGTATCACATACCTGGTCTTCATCCGCTATAGAGGGCTTCATCTTCTTAAACGCCTTAACGTGCTGGGGGTCTTCACGAGCTCGGCGTTTGAAATTCTGGGCTTGTAGATCCACGCGATGCTTGTAATGGTTGCAAGTCGTACGGTGTCGACCAAGCCCCGTGTAGTCAGAGAACTGGCGTAGACAGGGTGTCCCACATCCCCAGCGGTGGTGGTCCATTGTAAAAAGACACAAAGCCAGACACAGAACGATGCAGAGGATATATCTAATGTTGTTCATTTCGAGTCAATCATTTCCCAACAGTCGACTATAGTCAGTGGTGAAGCGGTTGAGAATCAAGAAGTAGGTACTGGGAAACACTGCCACTCTATGTAATAGCTCCACTTTCGTAGTGAAGGCGTGAAATTGGATATATTTGAAATACTTGAGGTCACATAGTGGAAAGAACGATGCACTAGCTCATCGCCTTCAAAGATAACTGTTCCAGATCAAACCCGCAAGGCAGTTCATGAAGGAACTGTGGGCAGACCAGCATTAGTTTAACCTTTGCAGCATTTGAAACCCCACAGCCGCACCTTGTAGCGAGATGAGAGCGATCGTCACAGACCTCTCAACAACTGGAACAATGATCTGCGGGACACCTCAGACTAATGGAGCGAAAATCAATGTACAGTCACTAACCTCCCGGACAGCACGGTCAACAAGCTGCATTGCAAGCTCGAGAGAATTGATTCAATGTGCCCCAACAGCACGTTGAGGCTCAGCTGCCGGTGTAGGCCCAATCGGCATGACCTGGGTTTCACCCTGCATACGAGTAGGATCAAACCCATTCATCGGCAGGAGTCAATGTTGGTGACATATTCGGGAATGGCAGGTCCTGTAACATTCGCCCAATTCAAAGTAATGTGCTAATCATACACGTGAGTATGTGCAAATCTCGATCAAATCGACACTTACGTAGCTGCTCGACACCCTCACCAAAGCTCCAACGTCACATAGAGTTGTACCCTCCGCGGCCAATCGAGCCCACGATCTCCACCAATTGAGCGTCTCCAGGAGGATTAGCATCCGAAATGCCAAAGCGCTGGAGCAGAGCGCAGACAGTGTCTGGATCGCTTGTAATGTCAGGACCCAACGGAATCAGCGTCTGAACCAGGGAAGTCCCAGGAGGCAAGCTGCGCAAAAGGGTTCGGATTATTATGGGACGGAAGTGGTAAACGCGCTGCCCTTACCTCAACGTTGGGAAAATGCGCTGCACGATAAGAGCGACGATTTCGGGCCCATACTTTGCCTGCACAGCAGCAATAAGCACCCGATGCTGCGTGGGGTCCAAGATGGGGGTCTCAGCAACGGACTCGGAAAGAAGATTTGACATGAGTTTCGCAACTTGCTGAGGGGAAAGATCGGCATGATCGAACGAGGGGGATGCGAGACAGTGCCAAGGGGTGAGACGACAACATGTTGTCGTTTATATCGTGTCCTAATGACTTGGGATCTTCGGACGCGCTCATCTGGTCCACCCACATAGATGCGATGGTGCTGTCTGGGCATGCGATGGTGCTGTCTGGGCATGTGATGGTGCTGGGTTGGCTGTAATCCATGTAGTAGCCTATGCTGGAGTGGAAGAGGACGGGGTCTTGGGCGGCGGCGCTGAATGTTCAAGTGAGTTCACATTTAAAAAGAACAGAAAGGACGCACTCAACAATATGTTCTAGTCCGCACCTCACCCAGTCAGCATGGCTAGCCCACAGCGTTGAAAAAACACTGTGCGAAGAGGTGTTAGCGGCTGTAGAACAAGGAGGGAGAGTAGATAGCTACTTACTCTGGCGTGAAATTCAGAAAGTATTCAAATCATTGCTGCGGGGTCATCGAAGCTCGCATGGAGACCTCCAGCCATAGCAGGGCAGCCTCACCCACAGCAAAGAAAAAATGAGGATTCCCAGGGCGCCCTGCTCAGGGACCTAAAAGACACAAGTTAACGGCTGATGTTCGCGGATCAGTGCCTAAGCAGCTGAAAGTGTCCCGCTGATGGGGAGCCGCGCATGGTGCTCGTATCGGTCTTTGGAATGAGCATGACTGATAATCCCTATGGTACTACCTGAGGAACAAAAACCAAAGTTCGAATTTTTGATTTACACATTTTTCAAACTCAGTCGGCAAATTCCACAATACGCTAGTCTTGCGCTAGGTCATTGTCACGGTGTGATATATCTACCGCGTCTCATCAATGTGTTCCCGTCGTCAATGAACGTCATCAAACGAGTATGCCATGAAGACAAGGGTTTGCATGGTGCATGGATTCCATCATTTCCGATGAGGACGTGGAGATATAAACAATATAATACATCAATATGATTGTGCAGTGTTGACCACCAAGGTGCATCCATTAAATCACCGAGATACGGCTTCAAGAACGCATACTAGCCGTGCCAGGACAGCAGTCTGTTCCCGAAGCACCGCGACGATTTCTTTTCGATTCTCTATGACTTCATCCACTTTATCCGCAGCCTTGCTAATAGTTTTACTGTCAGACAAAGTGACCCGCCGCTTCTTGGTGGGTGGTTGCACGTGCAGGGAGTTCGCGATATTGTCAGCGAAGTGCCGGCTCTGAGCACAAGTGTGAGCAGATGATTTATATCAACGGAGTAAGAGAAGACTCACTGCATCGGATTTCACATCAGAGTTTGACTCGTTGCCTGACAGTGCACGCTTCAAATTATGATGTGGGATATTGACAGGATGCTAGGAAACATGGTTTTCGAGCCTCTTTGTGTCAGTTCATAATTTATGAAATGGTACCGGCATACGCACCTGGTTACTAGCATGATTTTCCGAGTCGTCTCCTGCCAGTGATGCAATGCTGGGTGCCTTTGATGATGGTGAGCGCGACTTTGCAGAATCTAAAGCCCCTTGAACACCAGGACCTTCCAGTGGTTCACGGGTGTAGACGTAATTTCCTTGGGAGTCTGCTGGTGCTCCTTGACCATTGGCTGGAAAGCGCCATCCTCCACGATGTTTGTCCTCAACTCCCAGGATTTCTGATGCACCGTCATTGTAACCTGAGCCTCGTGAGCTGTGTTCAGAGCTTTGGTCTGGATCATAGTAAGGCATCGCAATGAATGAGTATGTGAGTAGTACTAGGTTTGCCGGTGATGGTCAAAACTAACAGCGGCTTGCACAGCACCACAATGATATCATTTAGTGGAACGTCGCCTTTATAAGGCTGATATGATGATTTTGACGGCTCAGTGCTCAGCGCTCAGGTGTGGTTAGGCTTGCACGCATTGCGGGGTTGGCCCTGCACTAGTGCAATTAGGTAGGACGTAGTGGAATTTCCAATCGGGAATGTGTCATTGATACAAGATCCGCATTGAATCGACTCCGAGTCGGAAGCTGTGAATTGTCAAGGTGGGCGTCAGGATTACACATGAAACTAACCAGTATTTCCGAGTCCAAGCGGTTGAATATTCGAACATTGACCTGACATTGATATGCTGTGTCTGCCATACGAGATTGAACGAAAAGTCTTCCGACTTGCTGCATGCATGCACCCTGCAAATGATGTGCGCTCATGTTTACTGGTTGCCCAGCGAGTTCAAAACTGGTGAGTACAAGTCCCGGAATGTTCTGAAGTCGCTACTTACAGGATGCGGATAGGACTGAAGGATTGATATATCACACCATCATCCTTACGAACGAGACACGCGCATGTCACTTCGTTGATTCACTTCGTTCTCGACTGGCACTTGCTTCTAAAAATGTCAAATCACTCTGCCTGTGCGGTACAGTGCAGCTTGCAACAGCGGCAGAGGTCATGCACCTTTGTAGTGGTGTTTGCAGCCTTGCCCTCTGGATTCTTCCAGAGGGGGATAACCATGCTATGCCGGATTTTCTATTGGAGGCATTGAATGGGTTGCCATTGTCATGGCTGTCCATTCAACTATCGACTGTCTTCCGCGGGACAGCCATGCCGTTTCTGCCATCCATCCCTATATTCAGCCACGTTACTCATCTTGAATTGTTGGAAGGCTGGGTGCTTTGGGGCTCTCCAATCGGCATACCTTGCCTGACCCAGCTCACACATATTTCCCTCCGAGTTTTCACGAAGCAGACAGCGCCAGCCTCACTCCAAATGATCCTTGCAAATTGTGTTATCCTGGAGGTATTGGTTTTGCGTGTGACAGAGGAAGTTAGCACTGTGGAGAAATGGCTGCTGGAGCATGGTCTTGACGATCCTTGTATTATTGTGACTGCCAAGAGCCCTCGTGATACTTGGGATCGTGTAGCAAGTGATGGGATGAGCCTGTGGTAGTATTTGTCACAAAGTGCCGAAGCACTACACACATATGTACTATAGACTAGATACCTGAAGCTATACGTCCATAGCCTAATATATAAAATCTTGGAGGCGTTCAAAAGCTAGGGCGGAAAAAAAAGAGGCACGTCTCAAGGCCTTGAGGAGTTTATGGAATGGATGATGATATTGTACTTGCCCGGGATAACACGGAGGGAAGCCGGAATGCTCAAGGCAAGGGAGATCTCCATCAGATTATGCATCATCTCAGCGACTCTGCATACTTTCAATCAATCATATCATGATGAAGATCGAAGAGTCACATACCATTTATGGTTTGAGATCAATTTCGTCCATTTGTGCTGCTGGACGCAGCTGGAGGTCTTCATCACTAACTTCACGCCCTCGTCCTTGGAACAATGCGACCTTCATCCACGAGGTCTTCAGGGTCTTCATTGAGGATCTTGGTTTCGAGTGTAGATATACTGTGGTACAGCCTCTGAGTTGAACTGCGAATGGATTGTTGCTAGGATCCTCCCGAGGTTTGCTATCAAATCATGCCGATGACACGGAAGAATTGTTGGTTGTGCCAGAAGAACGGGTGAAACTAGAAGACATCAAATGGGTGTGGGAAGAAGTTGATGATGCGGAAGATGTGGGGGTAGGTGGAGGTCAGCCACCAGACGAGCAAGAACTGAGATGGCAAATCTAACAGGATCATCTTTGCGGTGGTCAAATAATTGGTGATTTGCTGGCAGGTCCCTCTGATGAGAAGTGGGGACGGTTCACTGTACCAATTAATTTTTGGTTCAGTATAAACCCAATACATTTGATTAAATTTTGCGCTAATCTACACTATTTTAGTCTAGAATATTAAGGAGTCAGTGCGCAATCCTTTCTGAAGGTGAAGTTTCTTACCTTTTCAGTCTTGCATTATACTAACTTTGTGTGCTGCAGCGCATTAATAGTGTCAATGACATGGACATAAAAATCCATGATCATCATAGGGCACAGCCCAAAAAATACGGAGAGCATTGTGGGTGACACGATGCACATATCCACAACATCATCAAGTGTCCTCGCTCCCGTCCGTTTCAAAGGGGTGAGGAATAAGTCTGGCCATTGTCGCGCTGGCTCATCATTGTCGAGCTTTACCATAAAGGCTTCCAAGGTGGGGTACGAAATTGATGGGTCTATTTCAATTTCAATCTCAGTGAGGATGCTTGAAGTGAAGTGATAATCACTGCATGTACATCTAAATATTCACCATACTCACCTGCCCTCTTGCATCGCAGTTATCGACATGTGGTCACAATTTTGAAAGGACACTGAATTGGACGATCAGAGTCAAGTCCACAACATACCACCACCCTCGATCATTGATGTCAGTGAGGAGCTGTTGTTCAACTTTCAGACATTACAATGATGCTACAAGTTCCGTGATGAGATCCGACTCAGAGTTTGGCTCGCACTCAGTACCTTTGCTCCTGACACCATATCTCCGTTCTTTTCGGAAACACTGCAAGGGTTCATATAACGACATGATGGTATGTTCCATTTTAATACTCCAAACAGGGTGGACGGCTCCAACGAGCGTAAATCTTGCTCCATGTCAATTTCAAGTATCAGTGCTTGAAAAGCTCATCATCTCGAGTACGTCTATCACCCCCATCTTTTCCTTCACGTTCCTATTACCTATGTCACAGTCCCCAAGTCCTTCTGACAGCAATTCACCTTATGCAACCCAAAACGCTCTAAAACGACGCATTGCTGCTCTAGAAGAGCAAAACGCTGAGCTGCAGGGAGAAAGCCGCAGCAAGAATAGGTGTTGTACTAATGTGGATTGCTATACTATGTATCTGACGCAGCTCGTGTCCAATAGCCGCGGTGATATATATGTCACTGCTGGCCGAGCCATCCGGCGCCTCGTGAGCTTAACCGATAGAATCGAGGACCTCGTCGGAGAGCACGACCGAAGGAGCTCTCTGTGTGATGAAGACGACCAACACACAGAAGAGTGGGTATTGTGCTTGAGTACTTCAGTTGGATGGTTTAATCTCATTTGCGAAATTCTAGGGAGGAACAACTCTATCAGTCATTTCAACAGCTAC